CGGCGGGTGTTTATCTCTCTCTCTGTAATCCCGTAAAACCCTGAAAGTCCACTTGATAAGTGGAGGTATCACCACATACTGAAGGTATCTCGCCCCCGGGCTTGCAAGGCACTGTGATTTAATGAAAGAAACGTTGATGAGTCTTTTTAGTGGGAATATGTAATCTTGTATTTCCTTTAGATAGCTGTCGTTATTTCCTTATTTGTGTTGTCTGAATCCGCTGTGATTGAAAGTGCGTGAGACAACACTGAAATTGAAACTCTAAAGGTCAGACGCAATTAACTACGCTGCATAGTCGGTGCGTTAGGCTGGGCTCCAGTAGTCACTTGTTTACAACTTAAAAATCAGTCTTCCTCTACTTTGAAGTTGAGTCTGACTCACCCTCTACAGCTTCTGTAGGCTCATGGAAATGAAAGGTGCTGTACTACTTTTTCTGCTGAGACTTTAAAAGTGAAAAATAGGTTTCCTAATACATTTGCTGAGAATCATGAGATATATGCATCTCTTGTACCATCCAGCTCACTAATACCAGTTTCTGTTTGTGGAGGTGTCACTGAATAACCTCTGATCTCCTGAAACTTGAAGGAAATGATGCAGATATGTCCAAATCAGCCAGGAATTGCCCATTTCTATTGTTACAAATATTTTTTTTTATCTACAAGTGATTGTTAACCCAGGTCCTTTCTGAGAAAAAAGTATTAAGAAGGTCTATGCCATATCTTTCTCCCATTATTCCATAGCCCTCTGGATTTGGAGCAGTGTTCCCTCCAGGTGCTGGAGCCAGAAGGCAGTCCCAGCTGGAGTCTCCTGAAGCTGCTGGGGGATCGAGGCTGCACTGTGGTGGAGCTGGCAGAGTCCTTGCAGGCCCTGGAGCACACAGAGGCCCTCCAGTATCTCGGCCATTCAGGTCAGTTCTGGGCTGTGCTTTCACTGCAGCCCTGGTTTTTAGACTGGAAACACTCAATGTAACACTCTGCAGTAACTAAAAACATGTTTAGTGCTTGAATTCTGGTAGTTGGGATCCAGATAATTACCAAGGTAATTGGCTTATCTGATTCTGAGGTTAAAAGTAAGCCAAGCCTTCATACAGTGTTGTAGTAGACTTAGACTTGGCTGCATGGGTGTGCTGGGTGTTGTCGTTCTGTCAGCTGACTGGGGTTTGGTGTCAGCCTGTGCCTCTGGGTGATGTTTATGGACCTGAGATGGACAGACAGGTACTGCTGCCAGCACCTGGGTCTGGAGGTGGCAGTAACTGGACCCTTCCCCAAGTGAAGGGGAAGGGTCCAGTTAAGGCAGTTCTGGTACATGCTGGATTCGGTCCAGCTTGCTCACTGGGCAGATAAACTAACTTAGGAGAGAACTAAATTATTTTCTGCTAACACATGGACTTGATGGTACTTGTGGATCCCTTGAAGCTCAGCATATTCTGTGATTCAGTGTGGTTGTTCACAAAGTCTAGGAAGTGGGGCAGCACAAGGAGATACACAAGTAGGACCATGTAATAGCAAGTGCTACTTGCTGTAGTACAAAACCAGAACCCTCTCTTAGGTCCTTCTTCTTTAGGACAGGGTGAAATGCAGCCTCCTGGGAAATGATAAAAGCTTCCCTTTCAATGGGAAGTGGAAATGAGACCTGCAGGCTCCTTGCCATGCTGAAAGCTGTCCTGTTCTTTGGACAGTGTGTGAAAAGAAAATGCTTTTCACTCTTCCATCAAGTGAAAGCGTTTCCCAGTGTTGTCAGCTAACAATCTAACAATTAGATTATAGGTAAGATTACAAATACTGAATTTGCATGGTGTGTTTCAAAGTCTGGTAACCATAGATGCCACTTTTCCATCTTCAAAAGTAACACTTACGTTCTGCATTTTCCAGGGAAAATGGAAGAAATATTTATGTGTCTTTGTAATCAATCACAAAACTGAGCTGGACGGTTTTCCTTTTTGAACCATTAAATTCCATGGTACATACAGGAAGTGACTGTAGTGCTGAAAAAAAAACAGGAAAAGAAATGAAACTGAAGAAGTTATGGATCAGACTTCTTAGAACTTGTTTGGAATGCCTCTGACAAATGCAAAATGCTTATCTTCCAGTGATTTTTTCTAATCTATGTTCTTAAGAGCTGTTTGTGATGCAAATTGGGAGAAATTAAAAACAAAAAGTAGAATTTTTTAACAAGTCTTAATTTTTCTGTCCTTTAAATTGAAGTAATATAATTACTTTTTGTATTGGCTAATGTTAGAGGACTATGATGCTTAAAAACTACTTAACACAGTTTAACTGCGGAATGCAGCAGAGGTAGTGTTAAATAAGGAACTGAGTTAGTGCTCTCCAGTGCTAGGTGTAGAAGGAAGTGATTTTGGAGTAAGGAGGGAATCTCAAAGTGCTGCAGCTCTTTTTAGAGTAGCTGCTGGTGTGTTCCACTCCTTCCGAGTAATCCTGTGTGTGGAGACAGCTGATAGAACCCACCGCCCTGCCAGGCAAGGTTACATGATTTTCAGATGCCATGTGCTCTCTATTTCAGGCTTTTGTCTCCATGTTCTGGTCTAGTTGTACCCTCCAGAGCAAAGAATGCTTCGAATAATGATTTTTGAACTTTCTGTTCTGCAGTTGACTTCCCATCCTTCTTCTGATGACCTTGACTATACCAGTGGATCTGGTTTTGAGATCATCCTGTAACAAGATTTCGAATGGTTTAGGTTAAGAAAATAAATGCATCATATCAGGGTGGTGTCAGAGTTGCTTTTCTGGCAGTTAAGATTTGAAGTGGAAAATTTTACCTTCCAGAAACCCCTGCCCTGTGTTCTGCAGGAGTCAGAGGCATAAAGCTGAAACCAAGGATTCAGCTCATAAGAATGCATAAGAAATAGCAGGAAAACACTCTATTTGACTTAAACTCTGACTGCTTTGACTCCCTCAGGGCTGAGCCTTAATCCAAACAGCTCAAAGAAATTGTTGGGAGTGAGAAAACACTTAAAACTGGGAATATCTTTCCAAAAAGGGATCTGTGATACCATGAGACATATTATTTCCTTTAAAATTAAAATATCTGAATGATTTACTTTGAATCTTTTATGAGCTCCATTGAGTACTACTCATCTGAGCATGGATTTTGTGTAGTGGAAGACAATTTTGAATGTCTTAAAATATATAACTAATTGGAACTGTGTGTATACACAGTACAAACAAATTATTTTCAAGTATATTTAATGACAGAAATGTTCTTTGCTTCAAGGGCAATTTAAATGAAAATATAAATTACAGACTTGTATTTCTGAATAACTTTCCTATGTGTAAATTCTGTCTTAAAGGTATAAAGATTGTTGTCCAACCAGACTCTCAAGCAGTGCTCTCTGGTCAGGTCGTCAAGTTATGCTGCTGGGCAATGGGACACCCATTTGTGCACTACCAGTGGTTCAAGCAGGAAAAAGAGGTAAGAGTTCATAAAGCATTCAGGCTTTTTAAATAGTGAAAATAACATAATGATTTTGGATCATCCTTTTTTTGAGGCTCTTATTCACAGTGAGAGAAGATTGATGTAAATACTCAGAAAACCAAAATTAGAAATGCTGGATAATGATCCTACAAACATGCTAAAACAAAACATTGATTCCTTATATTCACACCACTTTATTCCTGGGGGCTGTGAATGTGGAATGGGGCAGAAAGCAGGCTGTAAATTCAGTTGTCTCAGCCTACCAGTAAGTTTTGAGTAAGTGAAGGAGTTGAGGATGGTGTTATGGACTTGGAAATAAAAATTATAATGCTTGGTCCTGGTTTAGATTAAACCAATCGAAATTGAAGTATTTTTGGTTCACCTGTGATGCAGGTTCCCCATGGTAATTCTCCAGAGCTGGTTTTGAGTCCAGTGAGTGTAAAGGATTCTGGCTTTTACATCTGCCGAGTGAATAGTGAATCTTCTTTTATGTTCAGTCGGTGGGCACGCCTTGAAGTTTGTGAGCTTCAGAATACATCTCATGGTGAGTGGCAAAAATGCATTCTGAAAGTGCCTCCCTGCTTCCTCAAGGCACTTGGGTCCCTGTTGCTGTGCTTATGTTGTGTCACGCTTCCTTTTCTTGTTACTTCCTTTTCATTTTTTAAGGGCACTTAATGGGTTTGCCTGAAAACAAGTTGTGCATTTGTAATCAGCCTCAGCCACAAAACCTGACAGTGGGGGATGCTTTGGTCCTAGAATGTGGAGCTGTTGGAAACCCAATTCCTCATTACCAGTGGTTCAGAAATGGATTTCCTTTGGCAAACGGGAGCAAAAATGTCTACAGAGTAAGTTACTGTAATGGGCCACACTTGGGAGCTAATGCTAACTACCTTGAGCTTACCCCAGAAAGTTCCTGTGAAGAAAATAATTTCTCCAGAACCTTGATAATTTCTGAAGAAGTGCTTGCGTGAAGTGCTGCTTTTAGTTTCTTTGCTCTTTCTCGCCTGTGGGGCTTGGATTCAAGTATTAAATACCTGATGCAGGTATTTTTTGAAGGCCTGTTGGGGTGATTGTGATGATGCTTGCATAGGTAACTTACGTGGATGTGGGACATCAAGGAACGTATTGGTGTCATGTATTCAATGACCGAGAGGATGAAGACAGCAAGAAAGTAGAAGTCATTATAGGTAAGGAGTTTTTCTATATCATACAGGTCACCTCCTTTGTCCATTTCTTCCACGTGACTAATATTTATTTTTGAAGCTTTCAGTAGTAAGCCAAGCACATGCATTCTATATTTTCAGTGTATCTGTTTGGTAAAACACCAGTGCTTGTGTCCAGCAAATGGAATTTTATAGCTTTGGGTTTTTACGGCGCAGAAGTGCTATCCCTTTTTGGCCCTGCCAGCATGTATGTGGCTTGTTAGCAGATTGCAAGCTGATTTATGCTTTTTGACAACTAAAAACCATTTTAACCCTTGCTGGGGACATGAACTCTGTTACATGGAGTCCTTCAGCAATGAGGAGAGGTGAGATTGTTCATTTCAAGTAGAATGAATGAACATGTTTCAGTGCATGTGTATTTGCAGTGAAGAGGAGCAGGTCTGTTTGTATAGCTTTCAGATCTATCTGGCAATAGTATTGTGCAATTTCCTAAGCTATGAAACACCCTAGTTTACTACTCCTGAGTTTCAGGAGTCATTACTTTCCGGTGTTATGGCCAGTGCAGATTTACACTGCTGTAAAGTGAGCCAGATTGCAGAACAGCTTGACAGTGCCCTGTGTCTTCCACCTTGTGTGCTAACTCATAACTAGAGCTCATCTTCCAATTTTTTCCCCCTCCTTAAAACACAAGGAAGGAGAGCTGTGGCAGTGGAGTGCACAGAAGGTAATGTAAACCTCTAGTTGTGAATCAGTTTTAAAAATCAGTGATGGGGATGACAGGTTGTTGAGTGTGTTGCTGAAAGGCATGTGTGGGTTGAGAGCTTGGGTTTAAAACACTGATGGATGATGCAACAGTCCTTCTGCATGTGCTTCTCTCTTCTTTGCCTGGACATCATGATCTAGTTCACACAGGTGAAAAAACAGGCTATTCTCTTCTTTTGTTATATTCAAATGAATATAAAGATGTCGAGATTTCTTTGGTGGGGCTCAGGAGGCAACATCCTAGCAAGAAAATCAGAAAATCCTGAGATGTTCAGGAGCCTGGGTGATCTTAAAGAGCTGACTAGAGCTAGTTCCAATGTCAGCACCATGTCTGCAGAAGTGTTTCTAGCAACTTCCGTAGGATGATTTCTGTTCTCCTTTGCATTGTTGCAACAGGGAGGAAGAAGTGTATTGTGACCTTTAATGTTGGTACCATCCCTTTACTACTGAGTATCTCACTCTGCAATATTCACAGCACAGGAGTTTGTGCACAGCAGTGCACAATACTCCAGGAGAGCACTGGTGCTTCAGAGATGTTAGTTCTTTTCCCTGCTTTCCAGTGTTCTCACAATAAAGAGGTGAAACCCCTGGTAGCTTAGAATGTTTGAAAATTGTGTCTGAAGTCTTTCTGAACATACATGGCTTCCCAAAATCAGATCTTTTGCTCAGGATGTTGCTTTTTCAGCAGCCCTTCAAACATCTGTTCTCCAGTGGGATGATTCTGGTACCTTGTTCCTTTTTTCTTCAACCTACTTGCATGCCTGTGGGATTGAAGTGTCGTAATTGTCCCCCCCGTTTGTTTTTACATCTACTGTACTGCAATGTTGTGTCTAGCACAGCTTAATGTATTGCTATAGGATTTTCTCTTCTCTTCTCTATGTGGAATAAACACAAAAGGTTTGATTTGCAGAAATGCAAAGCCAAAAGTATTTTAGAAAGGTAGTTTGTTTCCTATGTTCAGCTTTGTTTAATAATGGCATGACACATTTTTACTAATAAAAGTGTTTCTTCTTCTTGTTTAAACTATTATTTTATTGGTGTTTTCCTTCACAGAAGATTCATGTCATCTTCAGGAATCAGGTAAGTGGTAAGTTTTGAAAAACTTTAATTTTGCATTTTTACTTTGTTTACTTTAACTAGTCACTGAAAGCTTGCTGGGTTGCAGTATGAACTTTACAGTATTTGGATGTATCTGTAACTTAGGATTGAATAGGAGCTGGTATCACCTTAAGAGCAGCACAGCTTTCCAGTTCCAAGAGATTTAACTTGAAACCTGTAGAGAATCATAGTAGTGCTGTTTGTAAAATCACCCAAGGCTGCACATGTGCTTGCACAGATACAAAGGGAGTTAATCTTTCTTATCTGTGGTTTCTTGGGACTCTGAGTTTTAGCACATTGCTGCTTTCTCCGATAATTAAGGTGAAAAAGATGTGAGGTATCTGGCTATCACTCATGTTCATATGTTGAATGGCATATTTCTCATATTCTCATATTTCATATTGCAGTCAGCCAATGTGATTTGAAGCCTGTTACATGTTTATTGTGAAAACGTACATCCATAGTGTTGCTCTAGAGGGGATTATCCCTCATACAGTTTTCCCAAAACCTCAACTCCCAAAGATAGTTTCCTGGGTTAGATATCAAATACGTTTATGTTTGCCCAGCCTGTTTCAATCACTGAAGGGCTTCTCTGTCATACTGTGTCATGTTATCCAGGTGGCCACTTTGGCACACTGCTTACTGTTTCTCTTGGCATAGCATTGGCTCTGCCACCCCTCTATAAAATACAAAATGTGGATGCTAAATGCAAGCAGCAAGCAGGGAGCACAGTGTCTGTAGAAAAGCAAGTCACATAACTTTCTCAGACTAGCCTGAGAAAGTTGCCTGGGAAATCATAAGGAGGAATCAAAATAATCCTTAGAGATAGAAGACAGCCTTGCAGGTGTTGTTTGTCGGTTTCTTGTTCTCTTGCAAGAGAAGGTCGAGGGGTGGTGTACCCCACTGACCAATGATGGTGATGTGTTCACTGACCAATAAGGGTTTTACCTTTCTGGACCTTTGCGTACTTTGTCTACAAAAGGAGATCTGGGGTAATAAACCTTGCTCTCCTGTTTAACTCACAAGAGAGTCCATGTCGTTACTACCTTGCCATTCCCAATATAGTGTAAAACAAAATAAAATCATTTTCACATCCAGATTGGAATCCCTGCTAAGCATCCCCCACCTTGCATGTCTGCATTTTGTTTGGAGAGGACAAACTGTTCTGTTGTCACTGAAAGTGCCAGTGTGCCGTTTGTAAGATTTAGCATCTATTCTTTCTTAATCTGTAGAACTAGCTATTCACATCCTGTCAGGTTGTTTGCTGGAAGAAGGTGAAGGAAATCATCTAAAGAAAAACAACAATATCAACAAAACACCCCCAAACCCCACCAAAACAAAAATGCTTTTTCTTGCATTAAATTAGCAAATTGTTAGACAAAGCAGTGCCACTAGACTATGGCTGTGGGGAAGATGAAATTCATTTTCTGTAGTCACTGACACACTGTTCTTTTCTTCTGTTTCAAGCAGACCCACAAGAAGAATCAAGTCATAGACCTGTGGGTAAGTAGCTTTGTACTGAAATGACTGTATGTATTTGACATCTAGGAAGCAAATTCTGCTGCTTCTGAGTATTGCTACTACTGACACTGCCAGTGCAAGACCTGCAGGGAAAATAGCGAGCTCCAGGGAGGGAGATCTGTGGGTATTTGTGTATTCCTTTTAGAAAGCTTGCTTGCCCTTTCAGGAGTAAACTGTGCTAAGGGCACCAGTATTTTTAGTGACCCTGTGAAGCGTCTGCACCTTCTCATCTGTTTCAGTTCACTGCTTCAGATTCCTGTGGCCAGGCCTTAGCCAGTGTGTCAGTCCATTCCTTTGAACGCTCGGAGGCAGTGGTATTGGGATAATGTGATAGAAAGGATTGCTACCCTGTCTGCTGAGGAACTGCTGTCATTGCAAGCTCAGCTCTCCCTGTTCCATCATGTGGATGCTTTGATGCTGAGCTGAAGCTCATAAAGAGATGGATAGCACGTGTGATATGAAGAATTGTTGCTAGGTTTTTTAATCACATTCTTAAATTTGCTGTGTAGATTTGAGTGGTCAGGCATGTCCTGTTGATACTAAATGAGATGGAGAGGTTGTTGGCCTCTGTCAGAATTTTATGGCTCTTTCAGGTTCATCAGTGTGAGAGGGAGTGTAAGTGCTCCTCTCTCATGTAGGTAAGTTTCCTTCTTCAGGCTGAAAAGAGAGTTGAGCTGTGTTGTTGATGTAGAATGACTTGTAAAATCACATAAAATATTGTGCCTGAAGTGAGATTGGGTAGTTTTTTTCACTTTGGAAAACCTTAAATGTGAAGGTGTTGAATCCATAATATATAAATATATAAATGTGACACGTGTTTTTTTTTTCTCTGTGTCTTGGCAGCCACAGACAAGGTGGCTCTGTTAATAGGAAACATGAGCTACTGGAATCATCCCCAGCTCAAGGCTCCAATGGTAGATGTGTATGAATTGACCAGTTTGCTAAGGCAGCTGGATTTCAAAGTTGTTTCTTTGCTGGATCTTACTGAGTCTGAGATGCGAAATGCAGTGGATGAATTTTTACTTCTCCTGGACAAAGGAGTTTATGGTAAGGACAAGTAAAATCCCTTCTGAAGTAGGTCAGTTTTGTACGTATCAAGCAGCGAACATCTGGTATTTTTCCCTGCTAAACAAACTTCAGGGTAAATATGATGTATGTAGAATGGGAAGAATAAGTTAAAGGCACCCACCAGCATATCCTCTGACTTTGATTAAAATGTTATTTTTCCTTTACTTTTAGAGCAGATCAAATGATTGAACTTGATTCTTCAACCACTCCTAAAACTGCAGTGCAGGCTTTTATTTTGTTTGATAGTACTTTGCTTGCCTAGATTTGATTTTGGGAGACAAAGGACAAGACAGAAGTGGGGGAGAGCATGATGGAATTGCTGCAGTGAGCAAAAGCCTTGGATGGCAAAGGCCAAGAGTGATCTGGTTTGGAGTGTAAGAAAAGTTCTTACATTTTCCACTGCCACTATTTTGTCATTTTACTAAGGTTGTATAGAAAAATCCAGAAAATTTTTAGGACAGAGAGCAAAAAGTTTTCCCACGTCCCTATTTAATAAATTGCAGATTTCCTGTAGTAAAAGTCCATTTGAGAAAACATTATTTGATCCCTTTTTGGAACACAAGGTCAGCTTATTTCTTAGCATGACTTTTTTTACGGGTGTGTTACCTGATGCTCTGTCTGTGCAGAACTGCCTGCTCTGACATTTGGGCATTTATATCTGAGCCAAAACCTGCCTGACACGAAGCCTCAGTCTGGCAGGAACATGAGGCTTTTGAGAGCAGTTTGCTTTTATTATTGCCTGGGAAATAGATGGGCTTATCTGTTTGGGTGAACTTCGAGATTTTTGCACCTTCTCAATTTTTCTCTGTAGTTGTGGACATGAATGTAACAAATAAAGTACTGAAAGGCTTTAATGAATTTCTCAGCAGCACCATATCAAAGCTCTTACATGGCATATTTTTGCAATTGTACTTTTCCAGCCAGTTCATATAAAAGGTAAGCAGAACAGTTTTTTAGTGGTGTTTGGCAATGACCACTTCAGTTTGAATGATCACTTTGTACTTTCTGCATGGTGGCTATTAATTGCTTAAAGCCTATAAAAGATGCTGTCAGTGCACAAGAAGGTAATGATTTATTGCCTTTTCTAGTGGGCATAGCTTCAAATAGAAGAGGCATAGTGACTACTGCTGTTTAGTCCCTGCTACATATAAGCCTGATGGCACTAGGTTGTGTAATTCTGGCTTACTGCCAGGAAAGTGGCATTTCAGTTGGTGGTCCTTAAGAGCAGGAGTAGTAAACAAAGTGATGATGATTGTCTGCTCTGCTGTCTTAGTCTGTGCTGTTCTAAATGTAGGTTGCAATTAACACTGTATTCCACACAGGGTAAAAGCACAGACCCATGTGTTTGAAAGGCTAAAAATAATTAGGCTGCTTTCTTTTTAAATGAGAGGGACTGAGGGAGGGAGGCGGATATCACTTAAATGCTGACGTCTCTGAGGAACTTGAGCCTACTTAAAATTGTTGTGTGTGAGTCTCCGTTGAGGCCCTCCAAACATGTTTACTCCACTTACCCCAGGTATGTGCAGATTTATTTCTGATCTTGAGCTCAGCATATTAACTTTTGCAGGTACTTGGCACACAGCACAGTCATCTGCCAAGGACAGAAAAGGAATGTAGTCAGTCAGTCCAATTACTTACAGAATATATGCTCAGATACATAGAATGTCAACCCTGATTTAGGTCCAGATCCAAAATCTGGAAATCACATTAAGACTTTCCTTTTAACTTAGGGCCTGACACAAGGTCATGCAGTTGCACTTCATACCATTTTTAGCTTTCTTGAAACTCTCCAGGCTCAGGTATCCCTCATATTTTCATATCTTGTAGCTGTATGTAGTGAAAAGGCGCAAACATCTAGCACTCCCACCTCCACGAGCTAATTTAACAGTAGATCATCTTAGTTTGTTAGGGTGAGGCTTATTTTGGGTTTTCTGTGAATGTGCCAGTGTTGTAGTGACTTAAATTTCTCAGCAAATTCTAGTAAGAATAACAACATAAGAATATCCATAAGTATCTCCAGCCAGCATAAATTGTCAGATTTCTGTTGACTTTTATTCAGCTAAGCACTATATTCCAATTGCAGATCTGACTCACAGACTGCTTTGACTAGATAAATAAAAATTCTTTTTAAAATATTAAATTCTCATCATTAAGGAAAACCAGCCTGGGAATAGGCAATAGGAAAATTCAATTAAATCATACAAGCCTCTGGTAACTGCATTTTATGGCAGTAGAGATTATGGATTCTAAAAGCATCTAATAGTCATGTAAATTTATATGACTTTAATACTGAACATTTTTATTCATAGAAGAAAAATCTAGATTCTAGCTTGCAGTTCCTTTTCTTAGGGTTGAGAAAAACTTTAATTCCCTGCTCAGGTTGGTTTTTTTCTACGAAAGTATTGCATGTTTTATTGAAGATTCTAAATGCTAAAATGTTGTAGACTGTTTTGTAGTGACACATGAGGGACATGATGGCAGGATAATGATTTCTGGCTAGGTAAGCATGCAAAGAGTTTGTTTGTTTAGTAGACCCAGAAGAGTCATGAGTCTGTAACTAGGAGATATAGCTGCAATCAACTGAACATGAGCTGTTGGTAGTTTAGTAATGGGGATGTGCTCTGGAGTCCTACCAAACTCTTCAGCTTTTTTTTTTTTTTTTTTTTTTTTTGTCTATAAACTGCAGACTTACTGCTGCTCAGAGCTTTGTAATTGCACATGTGGAGAAGATGTTTTACAGTTGGCACATTGCCTTGTTCCTATCCATCAGTTACACATCACACATAACAGAGTCTTTTAGAGGTCACAGCTACTTAGAGCATTTTAAGAGTATTTAACTTAATGTGTTTATGGAAATGTCTAACTGATTGTATTGCATGTGTGATTTTTGTGCTTCTTTTAATTTACTGTGTTAGTGTATTGATGTTAACGTGGCTTGGAGTGGCTTCAGTGAGCTCCCTGGCCCACAGTCAGCACTGTGCATGACAGTTTTGACCCACTGAAATGGACATAAGTCTCTGATGCACTGCTCACTGTCACACCTGTTTTGAACTCAGGTTTGTTATACTATGCTGGTCATGGCTATGAAAACTATGGGAACAGTTTCATGGTTCCTGTTGATGCTCCAAATCCCTACTGCTCAGCAAACTGCCTGTGCGTGCAGAACATCCTGCGGCTGATGCAGGAGAAGCAGACGGGACTCAACGTGTTCCTGCTGGATATGTGTCGCAAAAGGTATCTCCTGCATTCCTGCATGGTGAGAGCTGTCCTCAGCTCTTTGGGATCTTCACAGAAAGCTGTGCTTCCTGCTGATGAGAAGTCTTTAGGCTGAGAATTCACTGTACTGCAAAGTTCATGGTTCTGAGAATTCATAGCCTGCACCTGAGTGCTTTAGCATCAGTAAGATTCACCCACAGACTTCTGCCTGTGGCCTTGGATAGAAATGTGAACCTGATGGTTAAGCTTTGTCCCCATGGGTACATAACCTGATTTCAATGACATTTATTTCTTTTTTGCTGTTGTTTTTTTAAATGTTATAAACAGACTCAGATAAAAGTGAAATTTGGCATCTGAAAGAAGAAACAGGACCCTTTCCCCTGGGATCATTATCCATCTTCTTCATTACAGGGAGGAAGGAGAATCCCTGTGATCAAAAACACGTTAACTTAGCAGAAGGGCTCAATTGAAGTGCTTATTTTTGAACTCTTGAGAGCCATGGATTTTGCTTCTGTACTGAGGATGTTGTAGCTTTATTTAGAGGTTAAAAACCAACTGATTTATGGGATTTTTCTACACAAAGTACTGTGTTCTTTCCTTGTTAAGAAACTACTATGATAAATTAAACTTGCAGTTGAAATCAGTTCTTCAGTCAGCACTTCTGGCAGTTGGTCTCTGAGGAATGTTTTATAAGAGAAAATTGCTGGTGCTTTAGTAACTGTGGAGCCTGTAAACTTCTCTGCGAATGAAATGCCCATGACCCAATTCAGCTTCGCAATCTGCTGTCCAAATAGAAAATCCTTCAATGTAAGCCTCATACTAATGCCACCATGTTTGGTGGGGAAAATAAAAATTAAGAAAAAAAAACCACACCATTTTTGGAATAACCTAGAATGGGTGGATATTAGAATTGTGTTTTGGAGAGATTGCAGCCAAACTCTACTGGTTACTACAGCATGCCCTTCTCTGGGTAAAGCATGGTGCCTCTGTCTTTACACTGCCCTCAGGCAGAGTGCTGATGGTGCTGACTTTTGTGTTTGAGCAGTCAGGATTCATTCCAGACTTCCAGTAGGAGTGAAACAAATTACTGGTTCTGAACTCTGCTCTTTCTCATATTTTCAATTTGTTGCCATTATTAGTTCTAAAATTATTATTTTATTTTCTTGTGTTTCCATTTATTACAGAAATGAATATGATGACACAATTCTTATCTTGGATGCTCTGAAGGTTACGGCCAACATTGTTTTTGGATATGCAACGTAAGGAGGTTCTTCTGTGCCACAGAAATGACTGAGATTGTATAGAAGTTCTTCAGAACTGTGCTGTGGGCCCGTAACCTTGGTCACTTTTCAAGTGCAAAAGCTGCTGAATAGAAGTAGTCAGGAGCTTTACTAAAGTCGTCTATAATATATTTAAGCTCCTCATATGAGCAGTTCAATGAACAGGTCTAGTCTGTGATGTCATTTTAAGAGGAACTTCCATCAGCTGCTTGCAAGGGAACATGAAGAGCAGATTGGCCTGGGACAAAATCTGGTTTTCAAATTGTAGGGTTTCTTTCCCCATTCCCAATAGAAATTTATTCTTAATCATGCGGGTTTTTCAGGTTTTTTTCCTTGTCCAATGCTGATGGTCTCACAGGTGCCAAGGAGCAGAAGCTTTTGAAATCCAGCAGTTGGGGTTGGCCAATGGAATCTTCATGAAGTTCCTGAAGGACCGTTTGTTAGAAGACAAGAAGGTCACTGTTCTGCTTGATGAGATTGCAGAAGGTGAACTCCAGCTTACTGCACTAACAGTCTCCTCAGTCTGCATTACTGAAAACAACTTTGCTTCCATGTCCTTCCTCTCATGGTGAATGTGTTACACTACTTAAATCTCTTTCTTGTTGTGTTTTGTTCAAATAGGTGCTACTGGGCAGCATATTAACAACATTCCTGATGCTGAGCTTCTTTAATAGCATTCAATTTTATACTCTCCTCTTCAGTGAATATTATTTGTTCCAAGTATTTTTCTGTATGGAGCTTTGAATTGTCCATCCACAAACTCCTCTGTCCTGTGGTGCCAGCTGCTTGTGGTAGTCCAGTTGTTTGCGTGTTCATTTTGGCAATTAACATAATCCTACTTGCCTCAGAGTGCTGTAGCAATGATAATGATTTGTTCTCTAAGTGCAGTACAAAGGGCAATGCACTGTGTTAATTTGCCTGGTTCAGTGATTGTATTTTTGAGTTGATGGGAGATGTACTAAAGTGAAAAGTGTGGAGGGAAAGCCTACTGCTTCTGTGTGAACACCTGCTCCAAGCACAGAACAGTGTCAGACTGGTGTGTGTAGGTGAATCAGCCCAGCTGTGCCCTGGGTTCGGCAGTCTGGGGCAGCTGCAGGTTGCAAAGCTTTGTGTTCTCTTCAAGAGGACAGGGAAAGACTGACATTGACAGTCAGGCAGCGTGACAAGCACTGCTGTGAGTATTCCCAGGTGTTGGTGTCGGGGAGTACACAGGTGCTGTGCAGACAGTGCCAGAGGAATGTTCCCATTGAGTGTTCCATGGAAACAGCCCCTGTGGAAAAGTCTGCAGCCTGCTGGCACCGTGGTTCTTGCTGCGCCTTTGCCACAAGAGTGCAGTGCTGGCTTATGGTCAGCTTGGTGGCCACCAGGTCCTCGAGGTCCTTCCCTGCAGACCTGTGTCCCAGTGAGTCAGGCCCTTTGTGGACCTGTGCAAGGGATTATTCCTGCCTGGGAGCAGAACTTGGTGTTTCCTGTTACTGGACTTCATGATTTCCAATTCCACAGCCTGTCCAGGACCCTCTAAAGAGCAGTACGGTCTTGGGGGTATCAGCCACTCCTCTCAGTTTTTAATCATCTGCAAACTAGCCAAGTTTTATACTCTGTTAAATAATCAATATTGGGTACTTGTATCTAAACCTAAAATATTCCCCTTGCCCCCATTCCTTTAGAATAATCTCCTCCAATGGAATTACTCACATTCTTGAAATTAGTCACTCTAATTAGGACCTTACCCAGTCAGAGCTGTGATGCTGCTTGGACTGGCTGAGGAACAGGGGACAATGTTGGCCAGGCCACATACAACCTGTCAGGGCTCTGCAGAGCTGCTTTGGCCTTCAGGTAAGGAAGTGCTGAGCAAGGAATACTTGTAAACAGCTGCAGCTCTTGTTGATGGATGTGCTGGCTCTGGCATAACCACAGCAACCACACATTGCAGGAAAGTACATAAATCAGTTAGAATTGTGGCAGCATTGATTTTTAAAGAACCTCCCTGCATCTTGTTTTTAGATATGGGCAAGTGTCCCCTTACCAAAGGCAAGCAAGCCCTGGAGATCCGCAGCAGCTTGTCAGAGAAAAGGGCGTTAACTGATCCTGTTCAACAAAGCACATCTTCTGCAGAGTCCCTGGCACGGAACCTGCAGTGGGCCAAAGCTCATGGTACAGTACAGTCTGCTTTTAGGTGATCCTACTGCCATGATGGGAGAAGAGAGAGCATGTACTATTGAAATGGAAGAAATTCAAGGTTATATAGCTACATTTTCATTACTGCGTTCAGTTAGAAGTTTTTGTTCTGGGGTTTACCCCTACATGAGATAGTAATGAATAAGGTGACATGTAGAATTCATGTATATTCAGTGTATTTAAGAGCACTCAGACACTGGAGGGGACACTTATGCGTTGTCTCCTTCTGGGACAGGCTCACAGTACTGCGTGTCTAGCAGTGACATTTGTAAGATGTCGTCGATCTCATTCTAAAGTCATCACCCAAAACAGCCAGGTCAGCTGTGTGGTAAATGTGCATGATGGAAAGAAGTTTTCAATACAGACAACTAAGAAAAATAAGACTGAGATGAATTCCAGGCTTCCTAGCCTTTTAAGAAGGGCAGTGGAGTTTAAGACCTTTTTACCTTTTTCAGCTAAACTTGTTAGTGTACATCTTCAAATTTCTTTGACAGTTGGGGCAGAGGGTCAGGGATGGCATTTCTAAGACCACTTGTCATATAGGAACACTCTTTCAGAGATGGAGATGTTTATTTGTGATACCAAGCACTTAATTCTTGTTTGTTAAATGATTGGAAAAAAAATGCAGGAAATTCTAAGTTTCTATTTAGACTGTAACAATGTGTTGTTTGTTGGCAGAGCTTCCAGAAAGTATGTCCCTTGAATTCCAGTGTGGTGTTCAGATTCAGCTGGGGTTTGCAGCTGAGTTCTCCAATGTCATGATAATCTATACAAGGATAGTCAAGAAGCCCCCTGAAATCACAGCTTGCAGAGCCCACATCACAGACTTCCCACTCGTAAGTGCTTCCTGCTGCTGTCTCGTGATCTTGCTCCACTGAAGTTGAAAATTTTCTGCTCCACCCATATCAAGCTGCATCTTGTATAATAAAATGGGTCTAAAGTGCTGCAACTGCTCAGACTGAAAGAAATACTATTTTATGATCTACAAATTCTATATAATCAATTAAGTTCTTTGTTTTCTTGCAACAGGACTTGGATGTAGATCCTAAAGAGGCCAATAAAGGAACTCCCGAGGAAGCTGGAAGCTATTTAGTATCAAAGGACCTTCCCAAACACTGTCTTTACACTAGGCTGAGTTCACTGCAAAAACTAAGGGTTAGTATATATTACTCATTACAAGTTTGCCCAGATAATGGACACCATTCGTGTTGCTTTGCAGTTCTGTTGAGGCAGCTGTGTATTGTTAGTGTAGTAAGTTCTTTGGAGGGAAAGAATGGATAATAACACAGTTCAGTGACTTCAATTTCAGCTGAAAAGTAAAAGGTGGGGAATTGATGCATATGCAGTCCTGATACCAGCATGCAAGGCCCCTTTTATTTTCCATGCCTATGCTGAACTTGGCCAAGATGGTTATTTTTGGGCAGATCACCTATTGCATACTCTGAGGGTGCTCCTATGCTTTTTAGGAAGAACGTGACCTGAAGCAGAGCTGCCTCATACAAAGTCATTAGTAGGAGATGAAAGTGTTGTGTATTATCATCCTGTGCTCCTGGGCACACTGTTTTTGAAAGGTTCTCACTTCAGCAGACTGGGGCACTGCTGAGTGTCTCTGTATCTTTAGTGTCATGAACAGCTCTGCCAGACACAGCCTGGCATCTCTTCTACCTCTCTTTTGGCAGCTGAGGTAACACAAGTGCCTCTGGAAACACAGACTGCTCAGTGAACAAGTAGGGACCAAAAGAGGTCCTCAGGAAACAAGGCCTGCCCACTGTGTGTCTCTTGCTCCTAAAAAGGTCACTCTGCTTCTCCAGGAGACCAGAGTCTCTCTAAGGGTTTCTTGTAGTGTTTATTTGGAGAGGAAATATAACTTGTTCTCTCCCCCTTTTTCCACTTTTACAGGAACATTTAATCTTCACTGTTTGCTTGCACTATGAGTATTCAGGAATAGAAGATACAATGGATGAAAGAAAGAAAATTAATGTTGGAAAGCCCCTTATTGCAAAATTAGGTCTTCACCATGGGTTCAAAACCAAGAACTGTCCCCAGACCTGTTGCATGCCTGGTTATCCTTTTCATAATCCAGTAGTATCGAGTCCAGAGGCAGCTGAATACTACATCCCTAGTCATTGCCAACCCAATTCCTGTCCAGGTGTTTACCATCCAAACTGTGCTTGCTCTACCAGCATCACACAACCAGAGGCATGTTCCTGCAATGGAACTTCCAGGATATTGGATTCAAGACATGAAATACAGCATTGTTCACCCACTATGGAAAAGAGTAATGTACCAGTAGAGACCACTGATGATACTGTTGAACTGGAATTCTTCCTCTCTGACAGCCTTAGCTTCTCTGAACAGCAGTAGCTGGGATGTGTTTGGAGTAGACCAGAGTGGCACTCTTGAACAGAGGAGCCTCCACACTGCCTCTCCATCTTCTGGGGTTTGGAGACTTCCAGACAAGGCCCTGGAGAGTCTAGAGTAGGTGCTGGAAATGAGGATGGGAGGAATTTTTTTTATGTCCCAAGAGACAAAACTGGACCAGTAGATTTAGGAATGAAAAAATGTAGAATTTTTTTTTTTCCTCTCACCTACTACTTGCTTGTGATACAGGGAAAAATCTGAACTGCTCAGAGTTTCCTATTCTGTTCTTTGGCCATTGTGTGTTAGGATCGGTCACTGATGTTCCAGTGCCTTGGATGTAGCCAAAAAGCAGCTCTGACTGCATTCTCCTCTCTGATTGTCAGATGTCCAGTGTCTGGCAGCATCTGAGATGTATAAGATCTGTGTAAGGAACCCAAAACCTGAAGAGCCAGCAAACTGACATCACTTTTGTTTTTAAGAGAATTTCAGATTATCAGAGGGAGCAAAGTCACAGAATCATACTGTGCTGGACTGTTTTTATTATGATTTTTTTTTTTTTTTTTTTTTTTTTTTTTTTTTTACATAACACTCATTTTTGCTGATTTTTGCTGATCTGATATCTGTTTTTTCATGTTCTGGAAGAACACTAACTGGAAAGATGAGGGCAAGTGCCTGCTCATAGCAAGCAAGTTATTGCATAGTCAGTCTTGCAGACATGCTGAGGGCTAAAACAAGGATCATAAGAAAAGTTATCTTTTATTAGGTCTTTCAATGTCTTGATGCTTTGAAAATGTAAAAATATTGGGGTGTGAGGGAGTTTTCAAACAGGATAGTAGCCTCTCCTGCACTGGTAATATTGAGAAGAATTGCTTTCATTAAGATCCCCATCATAAAAACAGAATAAGTGAATGTTATTGAGGCAGACAAGCCAGTTTCAAACTCCAGTGGAGAGGGTGAGGCCATAAAATTTTTCAGATGGGAATGTTAATGCATCTTTAACTAGATCTGGTGATCCTCAAGTTGCTCTGTGCTGAAAGGTGGATACGGGTACATGGATATAGCTATTTCCAGAATGACAGCCATGCTTAAAGCAATCTGTACATGAGCTTGAATTTCTGTTTTCCTTCTGCAGGGTTTTAAATAGTGCCATACCTGTTAATGAATGAGATGTACCTTCATTAACGATTCTGTGCAGTTGACTTCTAAATCAGATTATGGCTTGAGACCATGGTCTAGGATTGTAATACTAGCTTATACTTAGCTAATACTTTGTCAGTTTCCTAATTTGTATAAAAGCTTATTATTTTTCCTTACTGTGTAATAAATATTTATCCACAGAATTATGTATCTGTGCATATGTAGTTGCTATATTCTTCTATTCCTTCCAGCCTTAAAAAGCCCAAAACTTTATTGAAACAAAACATGTAATGAAAGAATTTCTTTAACAGAAAAGAAGGGGAAATCTGAATCATGAGCTTCAGCTCAAGATTCACAGATCTGAGCCTGGGCTGATGCCCTTGCTCCTCAAATCTCAACTCTTGCCTCTTGAGAGGTGCAAAGGCCTTTGATCTCTAATAGGTACCCTTGGACATATTTGTATATGCATCTATGTACTTCTGTGTGTGTGAATTGTTTTAAATCCCCTATGGGAAGTATAGTGTGGAAATTGCCATTTTAGATCTAGAATTAAATTCCTGCTGTGCTTACAGGAATTGAATCATTTCACAAATGTTACATCAGTCAGCAGTTAGGTGCTGCTAAATCCTTCCAGGCATAAAGCCCTGCCCAAGTCTGAACCCTGTGACTCAGCAGCAGGGTCTCCCTTAGCTTTTGGCATCCTTGGTGCCAAATCATTCTGCATTGATTCTAGACAGATTTTCCTCTGTGTCCATCATCCATGCAGCAGTTACCAGAATGAACCCTGCCATTCAACCTCATCACCCTTTTGCATATTTACATTAAACTTCTTTTGCTAATACCTTAAACAGAGGTTCTCTAAGTGACCTAAACCACTCAGATTTGTCCAAATCATTTGACAAAAGCCTGCCTGTGGCAGTAGAGTGTGTGGAGGAAAACTTTATCTTTCTGAGCCCTCCTTAAAAAGAGAATGGTGATGGAAAGGCATTTTCTCACTGCAGCACTGTCTTTAGGAATTGTTCTAACTGTTTTAATCATTAGCGTTCAGAATGAGATACTCTGGTTCTTCAGCGCAAGCTGCAAGCAGCACCCATTTCCTTTGGCCCAGGTCTAGGAAAGCACTTAAAAAGTTCAGCACACATAAATTAACATTTCAATTTCAGTGAAATTGGTAGGATTAAAAAACATGCCTAAACCTAGGCAGTTGTTACAGCTCTATTTGGTTTGTGGCCCCCTTTCTAAATAGAAGCCTCAGGATTTGGTTTTTTCCTGCAGTGAGATTGTTTGGAGATAATTAGCTTTTGCTGAAGTATCTGGCAGGCTAAATTACTTTGCCCTCTACTTTAGCATTGCTTTATGATTTTGTATCATTTAAGTGTTTGTTACCTGGCTTGGATATTGAATAGGTTTAGAAGAAAGGTTTAAGATAATCCAAAGAATCACAGGCTTCTCTGGCAAAAGAAGGGTTCTTTTGCTTCAGAAAGGCCAAGACACTCCCACTGTCCCTTTTCACACTGCAGTAAAGGTGGGAGTGCATTTACTTTCTGTACTTCCACAGAGCTCTGCAGGCTGACTCCTCTTGTTATCCTGAGATTCCTGAAACTGCCTCTGGCTTCAGAAGACCATCTGCACCATGGATCTCTTCAGTAGATTTCAGGGCTGGTGTTGCTGTCTCTGTAGTTACTGCCTTGGTTCATGCATCAACTACTTCTCCTCATTCTGTCAGCTAATTAGTAACTTTGGCAGCTCTCACATGCAGTAAGCTCTTGGGCTATGTTCACCTTGACATAAATTCCTCACTGCTGTAATGCGAGTATGTTTCAGTATTACTTCTTCCTTGCATAGAATTTTAATTCAGGCACAGTAAGATCTGCTCACGTTTTAGAGTGTAGCATTCTGAGCTACAAGTTTTTGCTGGGAATTGGAGATAGGTTTAAAGTATCAGGTGGAGGAGGACAGGTTGGGAATTTCAGGGAGTTTGGTTTGTTGGGGTTTCTTTAAAGATTGATCATTTAGTAATTGCAATAGTCAAGGAAAAGAGCGAGGACATCTCCATGTTGTGGCAATTAGGCAGTTACTAATTTCTAAGGTATTGCTGCAGCAATTTAGTCATACCAGGCTTATTTTAAGAGCTAATGAGAAGAAATGTTGTCTCCCATCGCTACTGTCGGCACGCAGTGAGCAGGAGCCCTGGATCCCTGTGGGGGTGTGTTACCACAGCGACCAGCCTCCACATCTGCAGGGATGTGGGAGGAAGCGACCAGGCCTTCCCCATCTGCCCTTCAGATAGAATCTGCTGGCACCCTGCTTTCAGCTTTCAAAGTCACTTGCAATTAGGATGAAAAGTCTTCAACCTGTTATGCAAATTACTTCACTCCCCATAAGATCAAGTAGCTTTCAGATGCTTCCTGGACTCTCTGATGACTTAACGTGGTGGTTATGATTTATTTCATCTCTCTAAACACAAGGCAGCTCTGCTTTCTGACATCTTGTAAGAAGAGGGATATTGACTATGCATGGTGGGACAGCACAAGTCACAGACTCACTGAATACGCTGAGTTGGAAGGGACCCACAAGGATCACGCAGACCAACTCCTGGCCCTGCCTGGCCATCCCCAAGAGTCAAAGCCTGTGCCTGAGAGTGTTGTCCAAACGCTCCTGGAGCTCTGTCAGCCTTGGGACTGACTGTTACCATTCCCTGGGGAGCCTGGGTAGTGTTCTACCACCCTCTGGGGGAAGAACCTTTTTCTAGTATCTAACATAAGCCTAACCTAAACCTCCCCTGCCACGACTTCAGGCCGTTCCCTTGGGTCCTGTCAGTGGTCACCACAGAGAACAGATCAATGCCTACAGAGGTCAGCACCTCTTCTGTGGGTTATCATCAGGCAGCCTGTCAGGAACTGCTCAGATTATTCCCCTCTGAAAGGGCTGCTTGTCAGAGCTGTAGGTGTTTAAAGTGGTGCTAGGAGTCTTCTCTGCTCACATCCTGTCAGTGCCTGCCAGCTCTTTTCCTCTCTTTCCTCTTCTGCTGAATGCCAGTAGCATGCAGGAGACCTACCCTGCCAGGATCGGGATTGGTCCAGAAATTTTTCAGGACTGCTTTGAGATATTCATAACATACCAAATCCAGTATTTTTTTGGTCTGTAAGAAGCATAACAGTCTTTTAGGAAGCTACAGAATCACTATAAAATACTGGTTTGCTGATTATCAAAGCTTTGCAGGCTTTGTTTCATGCCTGCCTTAGGGATATGCAGAAAACTGCTGCAGATTCTGGTTCAGTGTTGCAGCTGCAAGAAAACACGATTTTGAAACACCCATTGGATGATCAGCTCGTATTTTAGTGGAAACAATGGGTTCATTTTAATCAGAAAGTAGCTGTGCTTCATGACAAGCCATTTACCCATGCTGACATGTAGAGGACTGCAGCTGCTTGCACTTCACTGCATCCCAGCACACAAGTCAGAGGTGGGACTCATTACCACTGCAGAACCTCCCTGCTAGCTCTTCTCATGCTGTCTGCACTGGGATAATCCAGATTTTAACATGAGTACAACGTGCTTTCCTGTGGTGGGACACACAGGAGCAAGCCACTTGCCAGCTGGAGTGAGTTTTACTTGGAATGAAGTGCTTTACCCCCTACTCTGGTGTTGCCTTGCTATCAGCATCTTTTTTCCTTTTCTGGTCTGACAAGAAGAGCCATGTGCCCGTAGTACCTTGCATGTGCTGGGACACCTTAACACCTTCCATCATCCTGTTCTATAAAACAGTCCATGGGAAGTCCTCATCTCTGCTGCTGGCAATCCAATAATCCCTTCTTTTCTTTTTAAGATCTGATAAATAAAAACCTTTTTTTGTTGTTGTTTTGTGGAGACTGTAAGTTTCCACAGCTGGAAAAGCTCTGTCTCATGTCATGCAACAATTCTTAATAGACTATGATACCAAAGATGGATTAAACCCAGGTTTGTTACCTAAAGGTTCCCAAGAGAAATAACTGCCCTTTCTCCTCTAATTTTGTTTACAGTTATTTTCCTTTTAGACTAATTAGTTACAGTATTTTCTTATTGCTGTAGTCTTGATGCTAGTCAATAGTTACAATACAGTTAATATATAGTTAATAATAGGGCTGTCTTGAGAATGGTGTTAATAATGTTTTCCCTTATACAAGTGATCCTGAGTCATTGGTGACAGCAGCTTCTCAAGGTGGCAGATGGTGTCTCTGTAAGAAAACATGTTTTCTTACCTTGTCCATCAGTTCATTTCCAGACTGAGCAGAGAACTCAGTAGTAGCATCTGTTGATGGAATAGTTCCTGTTAAACTCCATCTGCCTGCCAGCTCTAGGATGTTCAAACTATGGTGTATATATAAGGTACAAAAGGTATAATTAGAATTCTGATGTATCACAAACTAGAGTGGGTTTAGTTATATAAGACGGACATTTTTGGACAGCTCTAAGAAGTAATAAAAAAACCTCATGAGCAGAGGGATGATGCTCAGCAGTTGCTTTTTCAGCCTGCATTATTATTTGCATCCATGCAGTACAAGATGGAGATTTTTGACTGATCTGAAGCCAAGCCAGGTCTTGTACAGTGGCTGCATGGGAGCCTAACTTCTGAAGCAGAGGTTTTGGAGGTGAAGGAACAAAGAGAAAAGATCCTTGGGGCTGGAAGGTAGGATGAGCCACCCTACCCCCAGACAACGTGAGCCTATAATTTGGCCAAGAAGGTGCAGACGGCTCCCAGCACTGTCACCAGTGACAGCAGCAGCTGCCTTGCCACTGGCTCATGGTGGCCACCACACTGCATGGGAAACCC